TATATAATGTGTATATATTATCCCTTTCAGAGCTACTGTAAGTATTTTATCCAGTTTTACTCTTTTTATTTATATATATACACATATATTCATATATATTTCTTATTCATTTAGATTTATCCAAATTCCCTTTTTGTTGCATTTTATTTCTTCCCAAATCTCTGTCCTGGGATAATTTTCCTTCTGCCTAAAGGATAACTTTTAGTATTTTCCTTGATTCAGGTCTCTTGGAAGCAAATTTTCTTATTTTCTTATCTGAAAATGTATTTTGCTTTCATTTTTGAAGTATAGTCATGTATTGCTTAATGATGGGGATATGTTCTAAGTAATGCATTGTGAGCTAATTTTGTTGTTTAAACATCACAGAGTGTATTTACACAAACCTAGATGCTATAGCCTATTACACACCTAGGCTATATGGTATAGCCTATTCCTCCCAGGCTGTAAACATGTACAGCATATTACTGTACTGAATACTGCAGGTAATTGTAACACAGTGGAAAGTATTTGTGTACCTAAACATACCTAAGTATAGAAAAGGTACAGTAAGAATGCAGTATAAATGATTTAAAAAAAAAAAAAAAAGGTACACCTATATAGGGCACTTACCATGAATGGAGCACGCAGGACTGGAAGTTGCTCTGGGTGAGTTAATGAATGAGTGGTGAGTGAATGTGAAGGCCAAGAACATTCCTGTATGCTAGTGTAGACTTTATAAACACTCTACACTTAGGCTACACTAAATTTATTAAAAAGTTAAGTAATTGCACTATGACATTACAACAGCTGTGATGTCTGTGACACCAGTAGACAATAAGAATTTTTCAGCTTCTTAATAATCTTGTAGGAACACTGTCATATATGTGGTTCATCACTGACTGAAACATCATTTTGTAGTATGTGACTGTATATTCTTTCTGGGTGTTGAATTCTATACTAGCAGCTGTCTGCACTTTGAATATTTTGTTCAATTGTTTCTTGGCTTCCATTGTTTGTTTGANGCAGCTGTCTGCACTTTGAATATTTTGTTCAATTGTTTCTTGGCTTCCATTGTTTGTTTGAGAAGTCATGGTAACTCATGTGGTTGCTCTTTTGAAGGAAATATGTCTTTTTTCCTCTGGCTGCTTTTAAGATTTTCTGGTTGTCTTTGCTTTTCAGTGGTGTTATTGTAATATACTTTGTATTTCTCGTGCTTGTTTTTCTTTGTGATTCTTGAATCTGTGTATCAGTGTATTTCATCAGTTTTGGCAAAATTCTAAGCCACTTTTTCTTCCAATAGTGTTTCTGGTGCCACCCCCTGCCCCCATTTTTTTTCTTTCCTTCTGCATCTCCAGCTATGCATAGGGTCTCTCTCTTACCTTCTTTTCTGATTTATCCATCCTTTTGTCCCTCCATGTGTTATTCTGGATATTTTCTTCTGATTTTTCTTCCAGTTTTCTCTTCAGCTATGCTCATTTGTTCAACCTGTCTATGAGGGTACTTCAAAAGTTTATGGAAAGATTTGTATTATCTTTTGATTCTATTTTTTCATGAAAAAAAAATTTTTTTTGGCAGCTGGCCAGTACTGGGATATGAACCCTTGACCTTGGTGTTGTAAGGCAGTGCTCTAACCAACTGAGCTAATCTGCCAGTTCGGTGAACTTTTTGAAGTACCTTTGTACACTGAGTTTTTAATTTGAGTTGCTTTAATTTTAAATTCCATTTATTTCAGGTTCTGATATCCTCATTACCTGGATATGCTATGTGTTTAAACTATTGCCTATTTTTTACTGTGGTTTTGTTCATATTAACTTGTTTTCTCATATTCCTGATTTTTTATTAGTGTGCTGTATCTCATATTAATCAGGCTGTTTGTAGAAATGTTTGGTTTTACTATGATTGTATTTTCCTCTAGAGAGTAGTTTGATTTGCTTTCTGGGAGGAGGATAATGTGTTATACCTTGATGTTGGATTTGGGTTATACGATTGTCTACATTCGTCAAAATGCATCCAATGGTCCCCTTAAAATTTGTGCACTTTCATTGTTTGGTACTAATAAACAAATTTTGGAGTCTAGTCAGTGAAATGCTTTCTGAAGTGTTTAATGGTGAAATGTACTCTTACATATGCAGCTTACTTTGAAATGCTTTAAAAGACAAAATGGATTGAAAGAAGGATAGAGGGGAGGATTGTTGGATAAATGTTTAATAAAGCAAATATAGCAAATGCTAATGGTAGAATCAAGATGGGTATATGGATATTCACTGTAAAAGTCTTCTAACTTTTTTAATGTATGAAGATTTTTGTAATAAAATTTAGGAAAAAATAGAGTGGGATACCATTGTACTTTGTCATCGTTCTTTGTTTTTATTTTGTCTTTGCTAATCTTTCTTGAGTTACAAGTCAGAATATTTGATACATTGATACATTGTAGTCTTGTTATAATACAGACTTCTCTGTTCTGGAATTTAATGTGATATGATTACCATCCGTGGAAATTTATGTATTGTATGAACCCTTGTTAAAATGAAATCTGCATTTAACTGGATGCTGTGGTGTGAACTTAAGGGTGGTATTAAAACAAGTCTTGGAAATTTGAGATCAAGACCTGGATTTGTAGCTAACTAACTTTGTAACTTTGGGAAAATATCTCCAGTACTCTGACCCTCAGTGTCCTTGTCTGTGCCTTAAAGCAGTCATCTGACTATGATGTACCTATCCTTCCTGCGTGCCTCACATATAGAAATAGTCCTTAAAACTGATAAGCAAATGGCAAATGCCTTTCCCTTTAAATTCTTGCTTATGTTTTTGGAATCTTATCACTTTAAATCAAAATTCTTGTGTGCAGATGTGTAAGGGAATTCCTTAATGTTAGAAAATTCTTATATATCTGCACAGTGCTACAACTGGCCCGTGGCTCTCATTGATATTGGTAGCTGTACTCAGTGGTATCCTGATGAATGCTGAACAGCTGGCTCTCAAAAAAAAAAAAAAGAAAAGAAAAAGGAAGGAAGAAAGAGAAAGGCAAGGAAAAGGCAAAGGCAAAAAAGGCAAAACCCTGACTGGTAGCATTTGCCCTCTTCTGTGGTGTAGTTACTCCCAACATGGCCAATTCAAGCCACCCACATGACGTCACTAAACATGCAGCTGAGAAGAATTGGGCATAATTGGTTACCACTGGCTGCACCAGTATGTCTGTTATTTTATAACCTATTCCTGATTTGTTGGGGAAAGTTCCAAGTTGTACAATTCTGATTATTTTATATGGCCAATTAAAATTTGGTTATTTTTGTGGAAAATTATTCAGAATATAGCAGTTATTTTTAAACTGCATTCTATTTTCTGACCCAATTACGAGAATGTCATTTTTTCCTCAGATAAGGTTGCTGTGCACAAAGATATGTGGCTCTGTGTAGTATATTCACAAGCTGTTTCAAAGGAAAGTCTGAAATTGATGATGGTCATCAGAAATGTCTACCATGCAACTCTATAGTGATCTAAGTTTGTGTGGAGTTAAAGGGAGTTTTCTCTTTCCCTTCTAGGCATTTTTGTTGCCTTCCTGTGAGATAGCTGTAACAAGAAAAGTCCTTCAAGTGTACAAAAAGTGGATCCTCCAGGACAAACCTGTGTTTATGGAGGAACCAGATAAAAAAGATGCTGCCCAAGAAGGTGCTGAAAAATTAGGAATTTCAGAGACTGATAGCAAGGAGGTAATTTTATCACTTGTCTTTTGAGTTGGGAGTATACATATTTTAGCAAAGTACACCTACTCAGTCAAGTGTCCCACTCAGTAGTACAGCAGGCAGGAAGATCCCTGTCTGTCTTGAGTTGTTGAGTTTTTTGGTGACCTGTCTCAGGGAGGGAGCTTCTGTGTCCTATTTTATATTGGCAGTCACCTGCTCAGGCTAGGGTCATGCAGCTTCGTTACTCACTGTCGCAGGAAAGTTGTTTAAAAAACCATCACATTTTACACATGTCTGTGTGAGACTAAAAAAGTCATTGTCTCCTCCTTGACTTGTTTAAGTAAATAGCACTTGGAAAAACTAAATTTAGAATGTTTTGGCAGACATTTTTGTGCAGTGGCCTGTACCAGAAGCAGTTGGGATGTTACACATTTGAAAGGACTAACCAAATGTTAGGTCCACTGTGAGCCTTGTGGTTGCGCTGAGTCCTGTCCTCCTGGAGGGGCGCGAAACTAAATTTAGAATGTTTTGGCAGACATTTTTGTGCAGTGGCCTGTACCAGAAGCAGTTGGGATGTTACACATTTGAAAGGACTAACCAAGTAGCAAATGTTAGGTCCACTGTGAGCCTTGTGGTTGCGCTGAGTCCTGTCCTCCTGGAGGGGCGCTGTTCATGTAAGATAAAGCCAGAGATTGGATAAATATGAAATGACAGAATAGAACATTGTTCCTGAAACACAAAAGAAACTTGTCATATTTATATTTCTGGCATGCTATTTTGAAATTAATTTAAAATGTTTAAAATTCTCAACCAGAGGCATATCACTTTTAAACATCTGTACAATTTATCAATTCCATAATTTTCATTTTTCTGTATTGTTAAAATCATTTTAATAATGATCATGAGGTCGGTATGAATTGGTAAACAGATGGAGTTCGTCACATGTTCTAAAGGGCTGTATTCCTAGCTCCCTCAGTCACTGGACAAACATGACTCATTTCTTCAGCCCATACTAAGTTCTCAGCACTGTTTTAGGTGCTGAAGGTAGAGTGGTGAAGAAATAAGAGAAAATGTTTGCCCTCCTAGCACCTATTTTCTTGTTAATTCTTGTGAGTGTAAGGAATTAAACATGGAGTGTCTAATTCTTTTCATTATGTTAATGGATTGTTATTTTCTGAAGGCTTCGTCTGGAAGTTCTGGTCATAAGCGATCTTCCAGTTGGGGACGCACATACTCCTTCACAAGTGCAGTGAGCAGAGGGTGTGTGACAGAGGAGGACAATACGTACGTGAAAGCCGGGGCCCAGGCTCTGCTGCAGGTAGGTGGCTGGCCAGGACATGAACACCCCTCAGCTGGAGTCATTTTGAACATTTTGTTTGTTGGGGGTAATGTCATATAAAGCATGATGACATTTTTAGCCATCTCTCAGTCATTCTCATTCTAAGTTTTCTTCCTAATTTGCCACTACAACTGTAAAGATTTTTTCCTGGTCAAAAAAGACAGAAGAACTGGTTGCAGTTTTTTGAGAGGGATTATTATACAATGAAAGTGAAATGACTGACTTAAATCTTAAGAGTATCTTCCGAACACATATGGACAAACTTGGTGATTATATATAATCTTCTAAGTTATATTTCTCTAAAAATTGCCCATGTTTATGAAGAATGATGACTACTTTAGTAGTTTATAGATATTTGTTTAGATGAGTTTAGGAAATAGAACTGATTCCATTTGGGAAAATCAGAAAGAGCAATTTTGTCTCATCACGTAACCTCCCCAGATCTCAGGATTTATCTCAAACATGGGAATTGGGAGATTACCTGTGAGTTCTCATCCAGCCTGGAGGTTGTTAGGAGTGTAAGTGAAAATACAGGGTGCCTCTCATTTCCCTGCTCCTTTTTCCTCGCCCTCCACGTTTATAGCTGTGTCTATTTAGGCCTCTCATGTCGTGGCCAGGCTTGGAGTCTGGGAAAGCATGGGAATGGCATGCATGTTATCCAGTTTTCAGTGAAGCTGTGTTTCTGTCATCAGCCTCTTGATAGTATTCATTATCATGGTATCTTGTTTGTTTTAAATCAAATTAGCAGTTTAACATACCATACTCATGAATTTTCTCATTTTTCATTGAAAATCAGCAAATAATTTGAAATTAACTTTAAAAAACCATGATGATTTTACCTGTACAGCTTCAATGAACTTTGGTGCAGCTCATAAATAGGACCTGTGTCGCCATCAGAAAATTACTTGGAGGAGTCCCTCCCTCTGAGTGGGTTGCCATCTCAGCCATCAGCCAGTGGCAGTTGCGGGGGCCAGTGATCTGCCCTGGTTCAGAAGAGTGGGGTTTTTTTTGTTTGTTTGTTTTCTTAAAGATAAGTTATATCTACTTAGATGAACCAAGAAAAAAAATAATTTTACTTCATTATAGCTCTACCATTTAAAAAAATATTTAGTTTGGATTTAAATAGTTGTTTTAGTTTCCGTTATAACTGATACCTTGCTCCTTTACTTGGTTCATTAGGAAAAAATGGCCAAATGAAGTTTGATAAGATAGTACTCTTCTGTAGCTGCTTTTGACGAGTACAGTATGAACATATTAATTTTGTTTATTTTTACCTTAACCAATTCCAACACAGTAATGAGAAATATTCATGAAGTTGTCATTTTGATGTTTTGTAGAAAGTAAAAGTATAATATATGAAGACTCCTTACTTTTACTGGGGAATGTGCAAAAATTTTTAATTCAATTGAATTCAAGAAGTTGAATATATTGAATTAAAAGGATCTTTGTTGCAATATATCATCTGTGTTGTACTTCTTTAAAACACATAGTCACTAAAACTGCTATAGTTTGTCAGAAAGTTCCTTGTTTTCCTTTTTTCTTTAATAGAGGCTAGTAAATTCTTCATGATTGATCTTATCACCTGTTATCAACTATTATAGTGCTTATTTAGTGATTCTTCTTAGAAAATCAGGACATGATGCCTTTTTAATCTTGCATAAAATAACTTTAGAGTCTGTCAACATTTTAATTCTCCCACTTGACTTTTGAGTATGTTCATTTAAATTTGGCCAGTTTGTGTATTTAAAACATCACATTAATGAGTTTCATCCACAAATAAGCCAGAGAAGCTCTCTCTTCTCCCAAATCCTTTGAGTTTGGACTGTTGAACACAAAGGAGACCTAAGAAGGAGTGTACCTGTAGATAGATGGAGCTGACCTGTCCTCATCACCACATTGACAACTCAATTTCTGAAGTTGATGGGTCACTAGTGTCATCTACATAAATGATAACATTGTTATTTTACTGTAGTGACCCTAAAGCAGTAACTTAACTACGTGATAGCCTGGATCAGTGCTTCTGGCATTTTTCTACTGAGATACCCCTGATAGTAGAGGACAGTGAACTTGTATCCTAAAGGTCTGAGGCAGAGCATAGTCGGCTGATGGTGATAAATGGTTTTTTTTTTTTTAATTTCAGTTTTTATCTTAAGAATTCACTTAGATTTTGTGTTCTACTACATAATATAGTTCTCAAATTAAAAAAAATATGCTCCTGGAAGATGTGCATTGTAAAATCACATGACTTTGTCTATCTCCGGGCACGCAGTGCTCCTGGAGGTTCTTGCCCTTCTTGGGTGGTGCTGGCTGTGCTTCTGTCAACAAGGAGTTCATGGTCGGGGGAGGGGGGCAATAAGGATCACTTAGTTCTGTCTAGACACTGTCTGGCTATAGGTCCTCTTCTCCCCTCCCCCACAAAGTTTCTCACCCAGACACAATGACCTTATCTTGTTTTCCCCTTTTCCTTTTAACGTTGAGAGGATGTCGAAAAGAAGCCTTCAACAGCTTTTCCGACTCTTAAAATTTCTAAAGTTGTAATATTAATATGTAATAGTAATTTTTTTTTCTTTTTTTAGGAAAAGGCCTTTCAGGTGTCTCAGTATTAAAGTGATTCTAAGGGGTGAACTAAAAAAGTCTTGAGTATGTGTTGGTACCCTTGCCTTACTGAAACAGAATCTGTCTGGAAATAACCTCAAGGTGTTTCATTGGTAGAGTGAAATTAATGTCAGTATCTTTAAGCAAAACTTGTTTGAATGTATATGTTTAACTATATTTTCTAAAGTAAAATTGTTGATTTGAAGGTATTTTTGACGAACGCTGCAAATGTCTTTTTACTGGAACCATGTGCTGAAGTTCCCATGCTCTTGAAAGAACAAGTTGACGCTTGTAAAGCTGTTTTGATTATTTTTAGGCGCATGATAATGGAGCTTACAATGAATAAAAAGACATGGTAAGTTTATATCAAATTAATTAATGGTATAAAGCAGATGTTTCTGTTTTTCAACATAATTAAAATGTTAAAGCTCCTATTTATTTAATGGTTTTACAAAGTTAACAATAAGATGCTAATCAGTCTTTTGTAACAGTTTCTGTGAATTATGAAGAAGGTAAGTACATGGTACTTTAATGGTTCATTTATTTTCATTATTGTTTTTAAAAATGTTCTTGAACTAAGAATAAGTAGTCATATTACTTAATAGTAGATTTTTCCATTTTAAACTGTCATCAAACATAGTTTTGTGGAAAAGCAGTAACTGGTGTTTTATATCATTCTTCATAAGACTGGGAGAGTTTTTTAATTGCTCTGAAATGCTGTAATCTTATTTTTATTGCTTCCAACTTGATGTTTTAATTTATTTTGGTAAAACAATCATTTTAAATAATAAATTATCAAATTGAATAAATAAATTGTCCAGTCAAAAATATAGTGGTGTCATTAAAAATTCAAAGTTTTTTCCTTTTCATCTTCATTGTTGTTTGGTGTTTTTGTGTTTATAGTGTCCCTAGAGGTAAACAACGCATTAGGTTTTTTTCCCATGCCTTTTCATAGTGAGTGTCATCTCATCACTCCATCTCATGAGGTATTTTCAGTGGTTCTCAGCAACAGACCAGAAAGCCTCAGAGTCACTTTCCACTCCTACCTCTTCTCTTCATGTATTGAAAAGGCAGCCTCTCAGTTCCATCTTTAAAATGCCTCTCAGGCCAGTCCTTTGCATGTTCCTCCTGCTTGGTTATCACCCTCATGCAAACAAGTTGGCCTACTGCCTACCCTGCTGTGATCAGCATCACCAAAGTGATCTTTTGCCTCCAACTCTCAGTCTTCTGAGGCCACTGCAGACCAGTGCTGGGTGGCACCTTCCCTACTGGAAATCTTTGGGGTGTTCCTGTTACTAGGCCCATATTCTGGATGTCCTCGAGTCAGCATGAAGTATGCTTTGGAAGGAGTCTGTCTGCTTTTGGTGGAAACCGTAGAAAAGAGGCAGGTGTGAGCTGGTAGAGGCTCTGGGCCACCAAGTCCAGCCCTTTTCTTTCAAAGATTAGGGAAGGGTGGTCCCAGAGGAATCTCATACAGAAAGTTCACAAATATGAAACCACAGGTATCAAAATGATGATTTTAAAATGTAAATTCCAGTGTCATCTTTCCCAGATTTTTAAACACTTAGCACTGTTTGCCAAGTTGAGCAATTGTTAAAGCTGGAAATATTACAGTGATATGTAATATGATTTAAACAAAGTTAAATGCCACATCAGTAATATTGAAAGTAATGAGAAATGCTGGCATGCTATCAACTGAAATATCTATTCCTCGATACCATAGTTGCATCAACAGTATATTTTATCCTTTTTTTCCCCAAAACTCTGAATTCTGTATACCATTGTATTAGTAGTATTTTGATATTTTCGATGATCTTTTAGTTTTGGTGAAAATTCTAGGAAATAAAATTAAGCAATGCTGTTCTTTAATAGTTCAGAGATTTCTGGCAAAATTATAAAAATAGATGAAAATAGAGGCCGGCCCGGTGGCGCACTGCTACAGTGCGCCGCTTGGGAGCGCAGCGGCGCTCCCGCCGAGGGTTCGGATCCCACATACAGACCGGTTCCCGCTCACTGGCTGAGCGAGGGGCGGGTGCAACACCGAGGGCTGTGATCCCGTTGCCGGTCCCGGTCCGGTACGGGTGCGACACTGAGGGTTGCGATCCGTTGCCGGGCACGAAAAAAGACAAAAAAAAAAAAAAATAGATGAAAATAGAGGCCGGCCCGGTGGCGCACTGCTACAGTGCGCCGCTTGGGAGCGCAGCGGCGCTCCCGCCGAGGGTTCGGATCCCACATACAGACCGGTTCCCGCTCACTGGCTGAGCGAGGGGCGGGTGCAACACCGAGGGCTGTGATCCCGTTGCCGGTCCCGGTCCGGTACGGGTGCGACACTGAGGGTTGCGATCCGTTGCCGGGCACGAAAAAAGACAAAAAAAAAAAAAAATAGATGAAAATACTCACCAACAAATAGTCAGTAGAGCTGAGCTTCTACTATGAGAGTATGGTGGTGAACTAGGTAGACAGTGTTCCTGCCCTTATGAGGTTATAATCTCATAGGACTGAGAGACATTACAAACACATAGAACAATTTTGGGTAGTATTAAGTGCTCAGAACAAGAAGCTAGGGAAGGGACAGAGAGGCCCGAGTTGGTGTGTGTTGCTCAGTGTGGAGGGTGGGGGAGTTATTTTCATCAGGTGTCAGGGAAGGCCTTTTCTGAGCGGAGCCCTGAGTGAAGGGAGGAGTCATGGCGAGGTCTAAGGGAAGAGTGTGTTTAGTAGAAGACACAGCCAGTGCAGAAACCCTGAGGGAGGAAGAAGGAAAGAAGGCAGTGTGTTCAAGGAAGGACGAGATGATGGCCAATGTGGTGGGGTGGACAGAGTGAGACGGAGAGTGGGAGGGAAGAGGCAGGGGCAGGCTGGGGGCAGGTTGCACCGGGCCCTGTAGGCCGAAGGAAGGACATGAGCTGCTTCCCTTTGTGAGAGCAAGTGTGACATAGTCCAATTTACCTTTCCAAAAGCTCTCTCTGGCTGCCATGTGGAGAATGCACTGCGCAGTGGAGCACAAAGTCTGTAGCCATAGATGATGGTGGCTTAGACCAGGGCTGTATCCAGGGAAGTGCTAAGAAGTGGTCTTGAAATGGAATAGCTGATGCGTGAATGAGCGACAATACTGCTGTGTGAGAGATGAAGGTGAAGTAAGTCACGCAGAATGCAGGAAGGCCGTTGCTGCTCTGTGGGACGTGAGGGCGGCACACATGCCTACTTCATGTCCTCCGACAGAAGTTTCTTACCCTCTTCAGCAGCTCTCCTTTGAGGAGGAGCAAGCACGTCTGTATTTCACGAGATGGAAAGGAAGAAGCTGTAGTCAAAACTGGCAGCTTGTAGTTATTGTGTCTTTCTTCTGTTACGAAAGATTTTTCCAAACGGTAGACAGTTTTTTTTACCATTATTTTCTTCCAGAAGATTCTACATGGGAATTCCATGGCTGTCCAAGCTTTCATAGGTTCAAAAATAGAATTAACTCTCTGTCTTGGTCAGGCATTGCTTCGGTCAGGTTTGTACTTTTTGATAGCAGTTCTCATGACTAAGGTTTTATTTGAAACTTACAGAGTCTCGTCTTCTCATCAGGTTCTCATGATGTAACCACCTGTGTACAAGGGATTGTTTTTGTCCTAAGCATCACATGATGTGAGCAGGCAGTGGTGATACTGGGTGCCACCCTCCCTGCCTCCCATGACAGGGGCCTGGGTGCCCAGAGCTTGGTGAGCGACAGGCTTTCTCCAGTGCCGTACCCTTTGTTCTCCCCATTTTCCTTTTCAAAGTCGCCATCCTGGTCCGTGCACATAGGCCCAGATCTTACGCAACTTGATAGCTCTTCCTTTTCAGGGCTTCCAGGTTCCATAGGCAGTGTTTAGGAACAAGCAAACAAGAGGAATAGAATGCAGTGAGAATGTATGCCAGCAGATGACTCTGAGGACCCAAATCAAATGGGGTCAGCTGTAAAGAGGGCAGAAAGTCCCCAGAGGTCACCACACCATGAGAAGTTTAATGAGATTTAGTATCATGTATTGTGAAGAGAAAACACTGTCCCAATATTAAGAGCTGTGAGAAAAGTATAAAGGAACTATGATTTAGAGATCCTATTATCTGACCTGGACAAGTTACTTTGTCCCATTCTCAGTTTTATTACCAAAGAGCAGTAAGGCCAAGGAGAATGTAGTAAGATGAATGAATTGTTAGTGTATAAAATCTCAGAAGAACCTGAGTGATTTCCCTCAAGAACAAAAGGACCTCCCTGTATACAAAAGAGAATGTGCTCTCTGTTCCCACGGAATCCAGGGAAAGAAAACATGAGCAGACACTCTGACATGAGAAATATAACTTAGCTGTAAGAAAGAAAAATGCTCTTTGGCTGTTCTCTAAGAACTTATTATCAGATTTAGCAGTGTTATGTTGTTTCTATAGTGTTTCATACTCTTCAGAGATCTTTTACATAGAATCCCTTTCTGCAAGATACTGGTACACTGTGACTGAGATGTTGTGATGGCAGTTGTCTCAGTTGTTCCCTGTAGTGCAGTGAGGATCTCCCAAGCACAAGCAGCATGCCTGTAAGTGTCCAGTAATGACCTTTTTACACCCATCCTGCCTGCAAGCATACTGTGAAGTTCAGCCGTACTATGATGCTGATGGCATATGTCCCCATAGTAAAGACTGGAAAGTCAATTTTATTTTCTATCACCAAGATAGGAAGACCTTACAGATTAAGGAGAATAATGAATGAGAAAATTAAAGAGTGCTGCAAAAGTTCAAACAGGCACAGCTATTCACTGAACGCCTCTAGGGTAATGGCATATTTGGAGAAAACAGTCCTGTCTCCCTTTTTACAAGGGGAGATCAGGCTGAAGTGATAACTGTTGTATCCTGCCTATTGATGTGAACATGGGAAGCACATTTTTAGAGCTATTGTAGCATAAGATAGCTTATTTTGACAAAATATGGTATTCATTATGTAGTTGGCATTCAGACTTTTAAAACTTTCTAGTAACACATGATTATCAATGTTGCTGAATTCTTAAGAGCCAATATCTTGTATCTATAAATTAAAGTGCTTTGGAAATGTGATTATTAATGTGAGATTTTATTTTGGGTTGCCCAGGGAACAGATGTTGCAAATACTACTTAGGATAACAGAAGCTGTCATGCAGAAGCCAAAGGATAAACAAATAAAGGACTTGTTTGCACAGAACATGGCAGGGTTACTATTTAGGGTAAGTCTTTTTTATTAAAACACTGCAAATGCAAGAAATTAATCAGATTTTATAGCAAATTAATTTTAATCATTGAGAATTTTAAGAGTAACATTAAACTTTAAAATTCTAGAAGTTTAATTAGAAATTTTTCTTCTTAGCTTTTTGTTAAAGATTGTATTCTATTCTTTACAATCAGTGCTGAGCTTTTAGGTTTTCCTACCTCTCTGACATCTACTTCCTCTTTTGATTTACTTGAGGGTGGTAGAAACTAGGAAGATGACAAGAGCTGATGGCCTTGGTGGAAGGCCAGGTAGGTTTGGAGAGGTAAATGTTGAATGGAACTGTGGAAAAAGATTAAAAACATGAGAGCCATCGATGTGTTGGACAGTTGTATTCAAAGCCACAAGACTGGATGGGTTCACCTAGAGAGGAGAGACTCATCTCCATGGTCGATGAAAGAGAGGGAGCCAGCAAGAGATGGTGAGAAAGGGTGACCAGTGAGTGACGAGGAAAACCAGAGGAGTGTGTGTCCTGGATGCCTGGGGAGGAGTGTTTGGTAAGAGGAGAGTGGCCAGTTGACCACTGGCTTTGACACATTGTGGATGGTGGAGAATGTTCTAGGGGAATGAGGTCTCTTGGAGTGAATGGAGAAAAGAGGAGCCAGGCAGTAGAGGTAGGAAGCATAGCTGAGACTTTGCAGAGGTCTTGATGTGGAAGGGAGGAGGAAAAGCAGAGCTGGCTGGAGTGGGAGTCATGCGTGGAGGGTGAGGTGGAGAGCAGGTGGTACGAAAAGATGTTTGCTGTCCAGTGGGAGGTCCAATGAGAGAGGACAGGATGGTCTGGGGGAGAGAGAGGATAACTGCAGGAGGGAAGTTCTGAATACAGTGGAGGGCTGGGCCGGCCTTTGGGGCAAATAGAGAGCCTAGGAGATCCTGTGCTTCTAGCATCTCACCTGGTGAGTTAGGGTCAAGAACGTGAGCAGGCCGATGTTTGATGAACTGCCTGGGGAAGTGGAGGTGTCAAAGGGTCCCAAGGGCCGCAGCCGATGCAGCATTGCTGATGTACATGGGAGGTGCATAGAATTTATGAAGCATTTCTCAAAGAGAACAGTGTGAAAGGGCTCTGGAAAAATGTGACATTCTACACAAGTAAAAGCATTGGTACAATGGGTGGGCCTGACTTTGAGTAGTTCAGCAGGTGCCAGCATGGTGCGTCTTGAGCTGGGAGTGACGGTTGCAGGGAGGAGAAACCACCTCTGTCCTCAGTTGACCTGAAGGTGGTTTTGGAGGATATATACTAAGAGCATTTCTAGAATACAGGGGGGACATGTAGATGAGGGTGACAAAAAGAGAAATTATTTCTTTAAAGCTAAATATTTTCATGGCAACACAAGAAAACTTAATGGTCTATATTAATTTTTAATAATTTAATATGATTGAGTGAGCTTGATGAAAAATGTATGAGAGGCAATACAAAATATTGGGATGTACTCACTTGCCTTCCAAATGCTACCACTTTTACTCTGCCTTGCCTAGTTAGTGGATACATGAAGCAGCCCTACACATTCTTTTTCATGTTTCCAACTTTGCTTCATGGTTGCCTGTAGAGTGATACTAATCACTGCTTTCTTGCCTGCGTGGACATACAGACACTCTCACAGTGGAGCATCTCACTTCTAGCACCCTCCCAAGCTCCCAGTTCTTGGACTGGGCTGCCAAGTGGATGTGAACTGAAGCCAGCCTCATGCCGGCAGGTGCTTGGCCTCATTTCTCACAATTGCCTGGCCCTACTTCTATTGTGTATGTCAGAGTTGGAGAGAGAATTTTCTACAGAATTAAGCAAGAATCTATTCTGGAGTTGTGTTTTTTGGGGGAAAAAAGTCCTCCCCCCCATTAATGGAGACATCTTGTCAGATCTTTCTTAAAGTAGTTTTGAGTCCATGAATTATTAATGATTTTGATGTTATTGTTATTATTTTGGCAGTAGATAGATCAAGAAGGATGCTTAAATTAAGAACTAGCCATAAAATAGTGGAGAGAGGATGAGCTTTTTGGAGTTTGGCCGATTCTGGCTTCTAATCCCAGCTCCTCCACCTCCTGGCTGTGTGGCCTTGAGCCACACTTAATTCACCTTTCTGCATCTCTTCCCTATTCTGTCACAATCAGGAGAGGACTTCTCCCTACCCTGTAGGGTTGTCATAGGAGTCAGAGTGGATTCATTCAGGATTTAAGATCATCTGTTGGCCTCCCAAGTCTTTATGTGAGATCTAAGAGGGGAGGTAGATAGATTAGGGAGACTGTCAAGTGGGCATTGCCTTAATCCCACGCTACAAGTAAAATTTGCTATCTCGTTACTATCATTTGGTCATATGGCCAGATACTTGAATTTTTAAGAAATTTGAATAAGGAGACTATTAAAGGCAATGTTAATTTGACATTTATACTTTTATCTTTTTCTAATTTTATTTATTTCCTGGTCCAGTAGACAATATGAATCTGTAAATTTTCTTCAAATGATGGATGAGTTTTACTTAGTTTTAAATATTTACCAAGTAATGGAAATTGCCCTAAGCAGTGTTTTAATCTGTTGTTGGTACTAAATACAATCTTATGCTTGGAGCTCTTTAGGTATATCAAGAAACTAAGGTCCTGCTATTTGTAGTCTGAGCCATTACTTTAAACTTATATATTCCCCTTAAGTGTGGTAAGTAGAGGGAGGTAAGAAGTGGTTGGTTAGCAATGTACATAAGAAAAGGAGTAATTAGTGAGTTGGAGTATTTTTTTATGAAGATTGTGTGCCAAGATGTTTCTGATAAAACATTGAATTTCAGCCCTGAAGAAACTGAGGTTTCTTTTATTTTTAATGAGAAATGTGACTTGAGAAAGTCCAAGTGACTTGCCCCAGGTCACGAACCAAGTTAGTGCAGAAGCATTAGTCTGAGGCTCTCTTTCCCTCTTCCTTTTGGAAAAGGGTAATTGATTAAAAGGGCACCCTGCCTTCATGTCCAAAGGTTCCATCCCTAACCCCTCAACTATATTTTACAATTATGCTCGGTGTGCAAGTGTTGTTGGTTGTAAATTATGATGATGATTCAACAGGTCTGCATTCACATTTGTGATATTTGCTAGGACGAATTTTATAAGCTGCAAGAAATCATTCTGTCCTTATTTTATAATTAGTCAATAAAATGAAGCCATTACAAGATTCCCAGTATAGGCATCTTATTACACCAAGACATCTGGTTTTATCCCTGAAGCTAGCAGTACATCCAAATGTGAGGCTGAGTCCTAGTAACATTGCCAGTCTCTACTCTCTCCTCTTACTCTGCTGATACTATATTTGTGGATATAATATTTATTAACTTTTTTGTATTATATACACTTTATGGTAATGGCCTCAAACTCATTTTGAAAATAGGAGTATAAAAATGAATAGACAGAAGCTGGTATTTTAATCATAACAAAAATACTTAATGAAATATTAATAATAATGAAATTATTTTTTTCTTTTGCATTGTTCTTCATTTCTAGAAAATTCATTTTAAATATCAGATTTAAGTATCTGATTTTAAATATTAGTGTTTAAAATGTTGTTTTCGATATACAGTACTTAACTATTTTATTTCTACCTTAACATTTTTACTCTTTTAAAAAGAATTGAAACACAATGAACAGGTATACTGTAGAAGTGACACTTTAAATATGATTTTCAAAGTGGTCAGAATAGGCCTGCCTAATTATAGACCGATTTCTGTTTCTCAAAGTTTTCCTGTGTTTATGTTAAAAAAAAATGTTTGTTTTAAAATCTATATATGATTTTGGGGGGGAAAAAAGCGAATTCATCCCATCCCATGCACAGTACAACTCCTGACTCCAGTGAGAGCCTGTTTGCATCTAGGTTGCACAGAGGGAGTTGCAGGCTGGGACCCGAACAAGGGCATTTGTCTTTGACAACAGTTCAGGGGAGTTAAACAGACTTTTGGATATGAAGATTTCCTTTATAAGGTTAGGAGAGCATTTGGGGTTCATTTGAAATGAGCTTGGCTATGTAGAGGCACTTGTTTAGGAGAAAGATATTTTTATTTGAATTTTAAAGGATATGGAATGTTTGGGCAGAGGTAAGGAACTGGGTAATTTCAAGGTAAGGAAATATCTAGAGTGTAAGAGTAATTGTTTGGTAAGGTGGCCCACGTGACCAGTTGTAGTGCTGTGGCCTGTAAGACTAGTGGAGGGACACAGAGAAATCAACAGACACTTAAGGAAAGGAGCAGTAAGTGCTCTGATGGGGGAGTAGAGGGAGCTATGGGAACTGCAGGTTACTTCCAGGAGGCTGGGAGACGGAGTGGGGGTTATTCAGGGTCACCTTCTTGGAGTAAGTGGTGTTTGAGTTGTGACCTGAAGAATGAGTGGGAGTTAAAGAGGCAAAAAGGACAGAAGCAAGGGAAGGAAGAGGATGGCAAAGGCCAGGAGCAGGAGAGAGCAGGTTGAGGAACTGGGAGAATCTCAGTGGAAGAAATTGAGTTATTTTTACTACTATGCAGTATTATAGGTACCTCTGAGATGTACCAGTAGAACTGTCTAGTAAGTGCATAGATAGGTCAGTAAGTGCATAGATAGGTCTGGACTGGGCATGGAAATTCAGAAGTCAGCATCATACAGGGAATAACTGGAGGCATGTGAATGGACACCAAAACCAGGCAGGAGGTGGAGTGGTGCTGGAAGGGAGAAGGCCAGAACTGCCAATTGACTGGGAGATAAGGAAGTAGGGATGGAATGAGTGTGGAATGTTCTTTCAAGAAGTTCAGCTTTGAAAGGGGAGGGGAAATGGCTATAGCTAGAGGGGGGAATCTGGGAAGTTTTTTACTTTTTTAAGATGAGGAAGAATCGGAGCATTTTTAAATGCTGATAGGGAGAATCTGGGGAAGTAGGACAGATTGGAGACAAAGGAGAGTCAGGATTAATGGAAGCACAAAGACTCTGAGGAAGGTGGGGGCAAGTGTAGAGGAGCAGGAGTCCCTCTGGGACCACAGCCCACAGGTGGAGAACAAGCTGGGTGCATGTGGATAAGAGTGTGGGTCTTGTGGGCAGAGGTTGGGGGGGATCTCATTTAATGGGCCCTGTTTCTTCTGAAGTCTGCAGAGAGTCCATCTGCTAAAAATCAGGGAGGAGTTGGTGGATGGAGGTTTACATAAAGAGGAGGAGGTTTGAAGTAGCCACTGTGGAGAGTGGGGGAAAGAGCTGTCTCAGGAAACAATAGTTGTTGTACAGAGGGCTTTGTCTTCTTCCTAATTATAGCCAGGGCCAGCCATAGACACTAGAATAATATTGAATCAATAGCTTTGCTCATAATAACTAAAGTCACAGTCTTAAATCCTGAATACAGTTGGTCATGAATGTTGAGAAATTAAAAGGAAAACAGAGGCAGCCAGTAAGCTCAGTTGGTTAGAACATGGTGCTCATGACACCAAGGTCCAGGGTTCAATCCCTGTACTGGCCAGCTGCCAAGAAAAAAAAAAGAAGGAAGAAAAGAAAAACAACATCCAAAAATATTTTTTATTTTAAAATTTATTAATAGTAATTTAAAATATTTTTTCAAAAATTGCACTTCTTCCAAATGAAAATGATGGATTCTCTTTCTTCGTTGGTTTTAGACACTCATTGTGGCTTGGATCCGAGCAAACCTGTGTGTATACATTTCTCGAGAGCTCTGGGATGACTTTCTTGGTGTGCTCTCGTCCCTCACGGAATGGGAGGAACTCATAAACGAGTGGGCCAACATCATGGACTCCTTGACAGCAGTGCTCGCAAGAACCGTCTATGGAGTTGAGATGACAAACCTTCCTCTGGATAAATTAAGTGAACAAAAGGAAAAGAAGCAGCGAGGCAAAGGTATTTCCACTCTTACAGGGTAACACCAGATGTCTGGGACTGGATACTTATACATCTAAGCAATTAATGCATGAAGTTTTGTAATGAAGTGAAGTAAACATTTAATGATGGGCTCAGATTGTGTCTCATCACTCTGTCCCCTTAATGAGGATGGTGAATCTCTGAAGAGGCTATGGAAGGTGAAGGAAGATGAGGGGAAGAAGTAGTAGTGAAAACATAACTAATAATAATGGCTGGTCTTTTGTCCATGTTATCTTTCCTCGCCCTCAAGGTAACCCTATGAAGTAGATACTGTTATCCCTGTAGCAAGGACAGAGAAATGGAAGTACAGAAACTTTATAGTGATTGACTCACTCAAGGTTATATACCTAAGAAATGGTAAAGCCGGAAATCAAAGCCAGTCTAGTCCAACTAAAGATGCCACACTATTAAAATGTTTCCTAGGGAGGCAGTAGAATACATATGGAAAAGTTCTGAATGCTTCATATGGGAGCCATTTTGGCTTTGTTGTGTTTCTAGGTAAAAATTGTTTTTGAGACCTAGAGTCTCAAATGAAAATGTTTTTAAAGTAGACAGCATCAGGGGTGATTTCTGTTGGCAATGACAATTTGGCATCCCCATCTTTATTACTGTTCTTAAGGACTGTGACGTGTCTTTGGATTGATTCATTTATACTCCAACTTACTCTCATTTGAGGCTGCTTATAGAAATGCATATAATACAGTAGGTCAAATGCAAAGGAAAATAGGGGCAAAATGGGGGGGTAGTATAGGTATGGTTAAAATGCATGACATAGAGACTCATGTGCTTGCTGGGGAGATGGGAGGGGGTTTACCTTGCATTTGACTTTGATCTTCTCAGGGTTACATCAAAGAGAATCAGTATATAAGATAAAGACAATCCAGTTACTTAGATGAAACATAGCTTTTCTTGGTCCTAGACCTGGGGGCATTCCTCCTTCAAAGCCTCATAAAGGGTACACATTGCTTATTGTGGTAGAATACACCTTGTTAATAACCTTATTATAGACTCTGTTGGTTAGCTTTTTTCGTGCAATAAATAACACCCAAATTTAGCATCTTAAAGTTACAACCACTTATTTGGATCATGATACTTCAAGTTGGCCATATGGGTTGGACACAGCTGGTCAGTTCTTCTGCTGGCCTTTGCTGGACTTCCTCCCATGTTTGCAGTCAGCTGGGCTATGAAACGGTCAGCTAGGCAGCTCTACTTCTAGGGTTTGGCTGGCTGTCAGCCAGGGCAGTGGGGTGTGACTGGGCTACATGTTTTATCACCAAGCAGGCTAGCTCAGCCTTCCTTACATAATGACTTAGGGTTCCAGGAACAGCAAGAGGGCAAGCTCAAATTTTCAAGTGCATTTCAAGCCTGTGCTCGTTCAATTTTGCTACCAAAGTAAGTTATGTGACAAAGCCCAGAGTCAGTGTGGGAGAGGACAACAGAGGGTGTGGATACAGAGAGGTATGAACCAATTACAATGACTAGTTAACTATGTAGACATGTAATTAATGTGACTGATTCTTATAATATCTTCATTGCAGTCTGAGAGTAGCTTGTTAAAGCACCAGTTACTAAAAGCAAGTTAGTAAGAAGCCAAAACAAAGTAGTTTAATTACATCATATTCTAATAGAACAGTTTAATCCCAGTTTAGATTTAGACAGTTCAATGCAATGATTTTTCTAGCATTATTTTTAGCAGCAGATCCTTTTTTCTCCCCTGTTGAAGCTATACAGAACTCTTTTATTAAAAAAAAATACATTATACTGGGGATTTGGGATTGAAGTAGGGGCAGGTAGCCAAGAGCCTGGACCCTTGGCCTCTGTTCTCATTCCGTTTAACAGCTGGGAGGGCTTCTATGTAAACCCAGGGCCTGAGAGTATCCAGATGCTTCCAACCAGGAACATGGCTACCCACACACACACACACACAGGGTAGAGGAAGAGAGGAGCAGAAATGGGAGATCAGGACTCACCTTCTCAAACTAAGTCCATTCCCTGCCTCCCGAAATTCTTGTAATACATGCATGCGCACAAACACACCACACACACACACACCACATACACACACACACGCACACACACGCACGCACGCGTACGCACGCACCCCACCCTGCAATATTCTCTTCCCTCCCACTGTATGAACAGAGATTCACATGAAGAGTTAGGCTTGTCTTAGGAAGGCAGATACTTCTAAACACAATTCTCAGGATGGTACAGAACAAATTATTTAGTTAATGACCACAGCAGATATTTCTGGTTTATATTGCCTTATTCTAAAAAAAGGATTTAAATATTCATTATAGAAACACTTGCCTTGTAAGCACTAGACTAGTGGAAACAAAAAACACAGTCAGAGGAACCTGGAGGTAAAAACAAGCCACAGGTGGCTGCCACTGGCCACATCATACCTGTGCAGAAATCTGTAAGTCTTTCTCCTCCTGTATTTCTTTTGAATCCCTGACCTCTCACTGTAATAATTGACTAGCAGTATGAGAGAGAGAGAAAAAAAAAAGTTGAATCTCAAACTGCAATGTGTTGTTATTTTGGAACTTTGCTAAAATAGGATTTTGTATTATGTATAAATTTTTATTATTTTGCTTATTTGACTGAATCTACATTAGACTTTATAGGCAGGGATTTCTCTGGGGATTTGTGGAATGGTTGGCATCTGTAGGACACAGTACCATTCTAACATCAGGATCTCTGAGTTTTTGGTTTATAAGTAGTGATTTTTGGAGTGTCCTGGAAACAGTGGTACAACCTCATTTGACATGGTTCTTGTATTGAGAAAGGTTTATTAATATGTTCTTTTGTACACTTGGAGTGAGTACTATGAAGATATAATTTTCATGAGACAGTTGGAGATTCTTGAAAATACTTTGGCAACAGGAATTTTTAGACACTGTTACAAGGGTACTTCAAAAAGTTCATGAAAAGATTCATATTATCTTTTTATTTCTATTTTCCCACAGACTTGAAGTTTTTGAAGTCTGCTGATTATATATGATTGTATGTGTCCCATTTGAGCAACCCACGCTATGAAATGAGTAATAATGAATTCAGCCTTTGGATGATTTTTGTTCTTATTCTTTATCAGGCTGTGTTCTAGAGTCTCAGAAAGGAACCACTGTGGGAAGATCCTTTTCTCTCAGCTGGCGGAGCCACCCAGATGTGACAGAGCCAATGCGATTTAGGAGTGCCACCACATCTGGAGCACCAGGAGTTGAGAAGGCAAGAAATATCGTTCGACAGAAAACAACCGGTAAATGTTCATTTAAATATTTCTCAAAAATCTAGTCGTTATCTAAAATGGATTTATAGGAATAAAATATTTCAAAATTCTACTCATAATTTAAGTATTTGATCTTTTATTAAATGAAAAGTCTCTACATCTTTTTTACTTCCCGTTCTGGTTACTTTTCAAATCATAATTTTCAATATTTATTTCTAAATCCTACATTGTGAAAAAGAACTTAAGATATTAATATTGAGTAAGATATTTGTGTAAAATAAAGAAAATAGAGGTTTTGTTTGAACCTTTAAACAGATAAATTCTTGATAAATACACGATTAGTTGCATTATTACCATTGTTAAACAAAATTATTCTTAAGAGAGCATGGCATCCTGTTCCAGCAGAGAAAAGCAGAGTGATGCAGGTAGTTTTCCGGACTGGATGGAGACATTTTTATTTTTTGCTCCTCTGGAAAATTGAGCTTTTCTTGCCTGTAGATGTTGTCCTTACAGCCTATTTGAATTAACAAATAGTTGACCAAGAACCCCCACCCAATCAGACTACTTTGCTACACTTTACTCTTAAAACAAAAAGAGAAATCTTTAAAAAGAAAGCTTGTATCCAGTATTAATAAGAACAAATAAAGCCCTCTCCTACCCAGGGACTTGGAGGTTGTAACTCAGGTTTAAAACAAGTTTATCTGAGTTTCCTATAGTTTCTCTCATCAATAATACCGTGCAATTGTAATTGATATTCAGCATGTTGACTTCAGAAAATCACAAGATCCTCTGATCATAAACAAAGATTCATATAAGCTCAGCATTTTACAGTGCTTAGTAAAGGCTTATTATAGATGGTTTATAATCCTGTTGGAGATTTTATGAAAACATACTATACCTTGACTCTGTCTCATGCTTTTTGTTATAGCATTTGTTGGTAATTATCACCTTATTTACATGCTCCTCCTCGTCTACTTCTTTCTTCTTTCCTTCATTCTCTCTCCTGAGGAGAGACCCAGTTCCTGATAACGGGCAATTTTTGAGGATGATCATTCACTAATTCCCTTTCTCATTCCAACTCCTAAAAACTTCTTTTTTTCTGTCTCTGGATCCTTAAAAGAAAGGGATCAGAGCAGAATTTTGTGACAAATGTGGCATCCTGCTTGAGCTGCCCAGACTTCCTGCTGTCTCTCACAATCCCTGAATCTCAATTATAAGAGAAGTGGTAATTGAAAACACTTTCTAAATTTTATTTTCACATTTTAATGAGAGCAAATTATTGTACATTGCATCTTCCATATGCCACTACTTGGCCAAAACATAGCCATAGAAGAGACTGCATCTTAGTTTTTCAGCAGCTACTTTAAGCCAACAATATGGTAGAGGCACCAGTATGTTTTAGAAAATACTCAATGCAGATATCATTGTTCTTAGGTGTCTGAGAAGCCAAAGTATTACAAAAACAAGCACTTTTGCAAGATCACGTAAAGGTATTTGTGGAGCATGTACTTAAAAACCATAGTTCTGGCCTTTGTAGCATTAATAACATTTTTTAAATTTGGAACCATAACTTTAGAAAAAATAATGAAGGGAGAACTATTCAGTTGGACACACCCATTATCTTTATGTATTTTATATTATACACATGTGGATACATATATATGTATTTCCTACCGTATTTTATGTTTTTAAAAATTATAAAATATTATGAATCTTTTTTTTGTTACCTATAAAAACAATGGTCTTTGAAGATTTTGTTATATCATGCTGTTTTATAAAATTAATCTACATGGAGTAAATATTAGTGGTTTTACTCAGCTCTGTTATTTTTATTTTGTACAATAACTCACCTTTTCTTCTTTTAAAAAGGCCTATTTTCATGGTGGAGTTTGATTTGTGTAGAAGCCACCTTTTTATGAGAGAACAGTAGCTCATGAAGTTAGTTTTTGCTACTTTTTAGCGATAAGGTGCTTATTATGGAAGACCCATTTAAAAGTAATTTGTTTCCCCCCAATAAAAGATAGTTTAAGATTGTTATATAACGGTTTGCCCCACAGATTTCACTGAAGTAGAGAAAATATCACTGATGGTGGCATGAAGGAAATATAAAATAAAATGTACAAAATAAACAGTTGCAGAGTAGAGAAATGGCACTTAGTTTAATAGAGAGTACACTAATTTAAAACTTAACTTAAAAGGCCTGACAAGGACAGTGTTAAAGAATTATAAAGGAAAACTCTGTCCCTGAGTATGAGTGATGGCAAGAGTTTAGATATCAAAAAGGAAAGAGTGAGCAGAACAAATCTTAAAATATGAAATGTTTTGTGTGGAAATTATTATTTCAAATATTTAGTTATTAGTTTTAGAAAAATGCACAATCATTTGATTTAAAAAAAGGAAAACTTTTAAAAACAACATAAATGAAAAGTCTCTGACATAGAAAGGTGAGTGAATTTTTTAGGAAATTTGTCAGTCAGTTTGACACTTACATGGAATTGTACTCATTTGCATATTACCTTACACCTGCGTGGGTTATGCTGTAATCACATTGCAGATGGTCCTTTTACTGGGAATTCTAATAGGCAAAGGATGGAGGGAAAGGACAGTCAAGTAAAAAGTTTATTTCACTTTTTGCAAATGTGTCACTATCATTCGTAGTTCCGGTTCATTAATGTTAAAGTCACATTAAAAATAATAAATCAATAAGTAAACCTTTATATTTTTGTTTTGAGGATAGACTGACTTTACTGATTGTCTATAGATGTGAGGCATGTTCTCTTCCTCTGTCCATTTATTTTCTCAAATGTTCATTTGACTAGCAGTGTACAGAAACATCGTAAGGTTCACAGTAAGAAAGTACGCGTTTAATAAGCATGGAATATGGTATAAAGGGTAGGTTTCATGGAGAGTTCATCTTTTTTCATATATCTAATGTTCAACTTGACTTTTATGTGTTCTTGAGGTTTTAGGATATAATACACTAAATGATTTGTTTTGAATATAGTCAGCTCTCACTAAACCAATTTCTGAATTATTTATTATTTATGGAAGAATTTTAATCTCAGGCAAGATTTTCTCTCTTTCACCATGGTCTTTTAAAAGTGTGTGTTGTTTAGGAAGGGAAAACTAATGTCTGCTGGAATGAACAACCCAAACGTCAATCAGCAGAAAAAAAGGAAAGGCTAAACATATAAAGCATTCCAAAATAAAATTGATTATTTGTGAATTGCCCTGTTTTCTATGTCATCAGAATGACTGAAAGTTGGCTGTATTTACAGACTATGATTAAATATTTTGCTTTGTATTGACTTCCTTTAACGTTTAAGATGATTTCCTTTAAATGTTTAAAGAGAACCCAGAAAAATGATAATAAAAAAGAAGTGAAAGGTCCTGATGTTCTTCTGACATAATTATTACTTTATCTCTCCTGGAAGCTAAGCGAAGCCAGTCTATCAGCAACTGTGTCCACCTTTCCGAGGCTTTGCCTGCCACTAAAAGCGTCCCGCTCCTCCTTCACACCGTGAGCGCTCTCTTCCCTGGTCTCTCTTACTCCTCTTGCTCTCACAGGCTGTCAGGTACTGTAATGCCCTCTCCTGTGTCCCTCCATGTCCCTGGGCTTCTCCTGCTTGCCTCCGGGCCTTGCTTCCTTTGTTAATAACCCTATATCGCTCACGCATACCTGATCACTGTACTTGTGATAAATTCCAGTGAATATTAGTAATTGTTTTTATGTAGTTAGATATTTAGTAGCAATTATAGAGTCAAGAAAAATGTCTGTAACCCCATTGGCCATTGTGTTCATAATTAAGGAAGATTGAAGGATTTTTTTTAACCCATAGTTTTTAATGGGGGAAAATGTGATACCCCCTTCTATAGAGTGCCAAAGTAAGGGAATTTTCATAACATTTTATAAAAGTGAGCATGTTAATATCAAAATGCTTTCTGTTCCTTCCAAAAAATGAATAAACTGGAAAAATTATGCAGGCAAAACTTCTTTGGAGTTAATAAATAATATTCATGTATAAAGTAATGATCGGTTTACATAGATTCATACTGATTATTATTTGAGTAAAAACAAAAAACAGTACATGAAAGTCCTCATTTCCAAAACAAAGAAACATCGTTTCTGTATGTCAGCCAATTAAAATTGAATTTAGCCATATGCGGTTTATTCACAGTGCATTTTTTGATTTATTAAGATGTTACAGCACCAAAACTGATTTTTGGCCTGTTCTCCTCAACAAAAGGATTTACTTTGCTCTACAGTGAATAAGTAGGTCAATTTCTAGTCATTTCTCAATGATTCGAAGGTGAACTGAATCGTCTTACTAAAGAGAGAAATATTTTCATGCTTCTTTTATTTTCGGGCATTATAGATTAGTATATTTTTAATAATTGGAGATAGCATAATTGTGGCTTTCTGTAGCACTAGATTATGTCATACTGTGGTTTAGCAAAGCAGAATGAAAACATAAGTCTTCTTATGGGTATGTAAAGTACTGTATTATTTAATTTACAGAATATGAGGGGAGAGGTTAATTTTATTGAGGCTGTGGACTGTAATGTTTCTCAGAAAACTCTTTTTCTCTAGTGAATACTGAAGGTGAAAAACAGTAAGGAAAATGGTCACCAGTCAGTTACATTACTGCTCAGTTGTTTGGTTTTCAAAAAAAGCTACTAGTTAGAGTTCATTAATAAAGTATTTAAAATAATTTTTCTCCCTGATTGGCTGATAGACACCGAAAAGGAATTGTTTTCATAATGAAAATTTTATTTTACAGTCAATTTTTTCCCCATGTTGTTTCACTTTAGTTTTTACTTGTTTTTCCAAAATATTCTCACAAGAAACCTCTTCCTATTAGTAATCTCAATTTGGAAACTTATTCTCATTCAGTATTACATTTTATTTTACTCAGATTCTTGGTTTCTGTCTGTATGCATACAGTCCCAACAGAAGTTGAATATGATTTAGAGCAGTGGTTCTTAACTGGGGATGATTTTGGCAATGACAGTTTTGGTTGTCATAGTGGGACAGTGCTACTGGCATCTAGCAGGTGAAAGCCAGAGATGCTGCTTAAACATTCTACAATGTACAGGTTAGCCCACACAACAAAGAATTATCTGGCCCAAAATACCAGTAGTGCTCAGGTTGAGAAACCCTGACATAGGGTGAAATGAAGCAGGCTGGACTGAGTCTATATTTTCCTGCCTTTGCCATCCTTTTTTCTGTTTTTATAATGAAGAGTGAAGGGACTTGTGGCTGTAGTGACTTTGAGAATAATCTGTTGTTCTTTGTTTCATGTGACAACTACAGTAGCAAGCTTCTTCTGGGTCTGATGCCATTTGTTCTTTGCTACTTAAAATGATGCCATTGTTCTTTGTGACTGTCCTATCAAGAGACTGGCCAACAGCATGTGTATCAGTCCTCAGCTGAGATTGTACATTTTCCACTGGTGGCACATTACAGTACTGAATTTGTGCTCCAATTTAAATCCTACCGTGTAGGCATATCCTGCTAACCTATTGCTAGATAATATGCAGACACATTTAATTTTACTTTCTGGCCACAAGTTCTTCACCGTATCAATGATTGCTAATATTATTTTCATATAAGTTAACATTTCTTGTTTTTGTTTCTAATCTACGTAACAAGTCAACCTGTCAAAATTGTTTTAATAATATGAGCAACAGAGAATTACTTACCTTCAACCACTATTATATCTTATCCTGATTCTTTTGGGGCTCTTTATTTGGCTGCAGCAGAATTTGGGGAGGATTATTTGTATTTTGGGAGAGTCACAACCATCTGTTTTCATTAATGTGAATAGCTCCATAAAGAAATGCATGGGAGGTAGGACTGGCAGTTTTGGTGATTTTCCTTTTTTTCCTTGTGGGAACAGTACCTCCCAGCTGTTTTGCAGTTTTAAATGCTTTTTATGTTGGGATATTTATCAACCTGTAGCACTTACAGGCTATGCAGATGATAGATTTAATTTTTCTTTTAGGGATATTATAATAGTAGTTAGAACTACCTTCCCTCTTTCTAAAAAGACTTAATAGGACATAATAGAAAGCTTTGTTTTGCTGCTTCTGCTTTTTGTTCTTGGGCTTCCAGGAAGTGTAAATGGTCCTTGACAAGACCTGGGCTGATTCACCTTTGTGACTTGGTGGGAAAGGTCAAGATGCTGAGTGGATATACATCTCCTGTGCTTTTTATAGGGTCAGTTTGGTATCATGCATGGTTTTGAAAATTTAAAAAATTACCCTATTAATTTTGACTATGCAACCTTGTACTTGTAGTAAATGTAACCCAGAATTTTGGCTATTGGAGAATGAGCCTCACTCCATTTAATAAGATTTATTAGATTAAAAACTGAGTGAAATTGCTTTGAAAAATAGACATCTGGGAAAAATAGAAGTTACTAAAGAAGTTACTTAATTTAATCATGTGGATTCTTCTCTCAGTGTGAAAAAATAAAATGAAGAAATGCATATTCGATCATTTTTCCGGTGTTTTGAATGGAGCTTTAGAAAGCAATGGTTTAGTGATGGTATTGTGTAACTTATACTACCGAGAGATGAGAAAGTTAGTGTTTTTCAAATTTGGGTTATTGGGATTAGCTAGACTTTTGAGGGAGTAAATGATTTGGCGAATCTAAGATAGAATTTAGTTCTTTCAAGTGATTCAAACAAATTGTGTGACATTCAAAACAGAGAAGATATTAGATCTCCTAGGATTTACAGAGTAATTTTTATATATCTTGGGTTGTTCTTTTTATATTTTGAATATCAGGTAATCCTGTGTCTTGATATTTGCGTATCAGTGTTAAAATTATTTTCATTTGTTATGAAAGAGCAATTGCAACAGCTGACACTGGAATAGGAGCAGCTTTAATATAAATTCCTTTCTTAACAAATAAAATGCCAGCAGAGGGAGCCCAAGAACTGTTAAAACAAAAACAAAAACAAAAAAAAAGGGAAAAGGTATCAAGAAAATGTTTTTATGATTTATTTGTTCATTTATACAAAACATGTATTGATTATATACTTAGTACAAATTATGAGAAAAGAAGTATACACTTACAAATCAGGAAGGTGGGTTTAAATTGTCAGATAAGGAGAATTGAAAATTCTTTTTTCACACTGTTTCGTTTGATAGTCAGCTACAGCAGTAGCTCAGGGCCCCAACAACATGACAGCACACTCGACATTGTAGCTTTTCCTTTCCTTCCCACTCCATCACTGGTGCTCCCTCCCCCTGCCACTTTCTGGTTATTTCTACAGGGTTGGATTTTCTCCATCTGAGAAGTCCCTCCTGACAGTTTTACAAAAACAAAGCCTTAAAAGCTGCATTGGGCCAGCCTGTTGGAAAGGCAGACCAGCTGGTGGTGGCAGGCTCTTCGTCCGTCTGCTAGATTGAGGACCAGGGGGGACACTCTGATTTGGAAGCAGTGGGGCTGTGGCTTATTGCATCCCACCAGATGGCGATGTTCTTTATCTTTGGAAAGATGTTGCCAGTGTTGGCTCAGCTCTTATTTGCTTCTGCTCATAGCCCAGAAACCAACATCTACCAGTTTTGGGCATCAGGTTTAAGAGAATATAAAACCCGCTCGTCCCACTGTCCATAAAAACTGGCACCTGCCAATTATTTTTTAGAAAGTTGGGAAGCTCTTGGGCTCCCTCTACTGATATTGGATTAACAAATAGGCTCATTAACAAATATAAACTCTTCCCAGAAGGTTTTAGCATCTTGCATTATTAGAATAAACAATGAAAGAAGTCGGCGGGAAGGCTGGCCCCATGGTGTTATCTGGCTTCTGTTGCCTGACGCTGAAGAGACTAGCAGTAGACCTATGCTGAGGGCCTACTCTCTGCTTTGGGATGTGTTGGTAGATACAAAAAGTTGCACAGATGCCTTGTGTTTCTCTGTGGAAAAATGAACAGTTCTTTGCTATTGAGGAGAAGAGGGAGGCAAAGGCGACCTGGAAAAAATGAGGCTTTAAGGGGTCTGTCTGTTCTTGCTACTTCGGCCTGTCTTTACTTATACTCCAAGCTGAGCTTCCCATCAGCATCCAAATTTGTACTGTTGTCTAGTACTTGGAATTGTAGAAGAATCACACACATTTCATAGTTTTGAGGTCATGTAACTGTATCAGTGCATTATAAAATGGAATTTTCATTTGGACAGAAAAAATAAAGCAGCAATCCTGTGTTGAAATCCTTTGAATTAAATTTAGAATCTTTCTATATGTAACTTCTTGGTTAGGGTGAGCGACCACTTTGGCTTATGGCTCAGATTACAGGGTCATACAGAAGGTGGTCCTTTGGGCAGTAGTACTCCATTTGTGCTGAGGAACTGGGTGACACAGCCAGGTAAGATAATACAGGCTGAATTTTAATCAGTCTCTTCTTAGAAGTAGTGACACTAGCTAATTAAATCTTTGGAAAATATGATGTAGTTATGTGGATATAAAATTTGTGACTGCATCAGTGAGTATCGAGTTTAGTGAGGAACATAGTAGAGGGGTTTACACGCAGAGTCAGTCCAGTAGGGGGATGTGTCCAGGGTAACATGGGGAGGAGGGATGAGGGAGCAGGTCTGAGGTTAGCAGGAGGAAGTGAACAGCAGGTGCCAGTGGCTTAGTATCGCTCAAGCCTAAAGTGAGCGAGAGGTCCTGCAGGGGGAGTGGTGTGGAGTGAAATTGGGAGAGCCCTGTAATCACCCCGAAGATCACAGGTTTGATCCTCTAATGATAGAGGGCCTCGTGGGATATTAAGAGGTGTGACACAGTCAAATCTTTATTTTAGAGGGACCTCTTGGGGGGCCATGTAGAGGATAGATATGATGGTGGTAAGAAGAGGAGAACAGTGAATAGTTAGGCTATTAAAATAACCTGGGCAAAAGGGACTGCAGCCCTGAAGCTGTGACTCTAGAGGGAGAGTGTGGGGTGATTATTCCAGTGCCTTGGGTGGTCTTTAGATATTAAAATGAACTGTGCAGTTTAGAAACAAGCTAAGAGGGAGCTCATTCTGTAGGGGATATAGTTTGTAACAATACTAGCTGAGATTATCCTGTGGTCAGTACTCATCTACGGTTTTCTATTTTATGTCATATAGGTATTGATTCTCTAAAAATACCAGTGGATCTTTTTTTTACTTTAGTGATTAGTTCAACATTGCATTTGGTGATATGAGCCATTAAATAATTACAACATTTTATTTTGGACAGTTGTACATTTATCTGTCAAAAGGAGTAATAAAGTTGAAATTCCCATGTTTCCTTTTATCTTCGTGTGTGTGTGTGTGTGTGTGTGTGTGTGTGTGTGTGTGTGTGTGTGTGTGTGTGACTTTCTGTTGTCCTCAACTGTAAATTACTCATCCTGTGCATCTCCCGGATCTGTGGATCTCTCTTTCCTTGGCATGCCTGTCCCTGAAATACAAATGACTTTTACCATTCACAACTATTTTCATGGCTTTCTTTTCTTTTTTTTTTTTTCTTCAGTCTTCACTCTGATTGAAAAATAAATGGCTTTATAGAACTTAAGAGGAAAATGTATTCTTGGAGTAGAATATTGGTGTTAACAAGTGTAGGAATCTTGATGATGTAAGTGCAGATTATCTTATTGCAAAATTTTTGTGAAAACTATATGAAGTTTCATTTTTCAAATCAGTTGTTTTAAATGGTGAAAGTATTTTTAAAAATCTTGAACTACACCTCTGCATATTTTGTGTTAATGCTCACAGAAGTGGAAGAGTGTCAACAGTCAGAAAATGCACCTGTAGCTGGATCTGGTCACCTCATGGTGGGACAGCAGCATCTGGTCCTTCGGAGCAGCAGCACATCCGACATCACTGAGCCACTGTGCTCTGATTCTTCTCAGGGTACGTGGTGTCCTCAATTATTCATACAGAACTGTAGACTCTAGTGGAGAAAAAACTGCGTGTAGTATTGCTTTCTACATTTATTCTAAATATATTTATTTCAAGGGAATTTACTTTTTAATTTGATTGCAAGGATGTGATTTCTGGCAATGAAATATGTTCGTTATTTTAATACATTTATTTGATATATATAATACATATACACACACATATATATGCATGTACGTACATGTGTCTGCCTTTTTTGAGTCTGGCATGTTTGAGGGCTAGAATGGAGTCCAGAGTGGCTGGAGTAGGAGGGGGGCAGAGAACGCAACAGGCCGAGGTCAGGAAGAGCAGTACATGAGATAGGAGGCAGGGCGGAGGGTGGGGTGTGTAGGGAAAGGGCTGTGAGAACAGCCATAAAAGTTGAAAATGAGGATGGAAAGCTGACCAGATCTGTGAAAATGTTTATGAGCAGCTTGCAGACCCTGCTAAGGTTGAAAATAATAACTTTTAATAGCACAATTTTTCTGATGAGTTTTAGCAACAGGGTGTTTTGAAAGCAAAGAGGATAGTTCGACCTGCAAACAGTGAATAATGTATTTTACAGTGAAAGCGCATGTTTAAAGTGTGTATGATATCAGTGAACAGACTTACTTTGTTTTAGTGTCATGAGTTAATTAAGAAATAAGCCAACCTTATTTATCAACAACTTATCTCACATCTTTTAATGTCAAGGTCGTGCTACTCTCATCAAATGAATGGGGAAGTATAATGGGGAAGTATTCCCTCTTAGAAATCCTCTTGAAATAAAATACAATAAAAAATAATTTGAGAAAATATATTATCTTGAAGATTTTCTGCTCTTTGAAAGGTTTTGTATAATATTTTTTTTCTTCATAAATGTTTAGTAGAATCTACCAGTTTTCTGGAATTTTCTTGTAGGAAGGTTTTAAAATATTCAAATTTTAACAAGCTTATTGTTAGACAAGAGGGATAAGTTCAAGCGATCTGTTGTACAGTATAGTGGCTATAGTTAATAACAATGTATTGTACCAGTATTCTTGAAAATTGCTAAAAGAGTAGATTTTTTTTTTTTTTTTGTCTTTTTCCGTGTCCGGCAACGGATCGCAACCCTCGGTGTTGCCCCCGTACCAGACCGGGACCGGCAACGGGATCGCAACCCTCGGTGTTGCTCCCGCGCCTCGCTCAGCCAGTGAGCGGGAACCGGTCTGTATGTGGGATCCGAACCCTCGGCGGGAGCGCCACCGCGCTTCCAAAGCGGCTCACTATAGCAGTGCACCACCGGGCCGGCCCCCTAAAAGAGTAGATTTTAAGTGTTCTCATCACAAAAAAAATGTGAGATAATATATATATTAATTAGCTTGATTTAGCCATTCCATGGTGTATACATATTTCAAAGCAACATGTACATGATAAAGAAATACAACTTTTGTCAATTAAAAAATTTAAAAATAAACATTTTAAATAATTACAGGACTATTCAGATTTTTTGTTTCTTTTAACTTTGGTAAATGATGTTTTTCTAGGAATTTGTTTAATTCATGTATTCTTCTCAAATTTATTGGACCCAGACTATTCATGAAATACTTCTATGAGACCCCCCCGCCTTTTTTTTTTTTGCAGCTAGCTAGTACAGGAATTGAACAGTGGATATTGGTGTTATCAGTTCTAACTAACTGAACTAACTGGACGGCCTCACTATGATCCCTTTTAATGTTTGCAGACTTTGTGGTGATTTCCTTTTTAATTACTGAAAGTGGTTGTTTGTGCTTTCTTTTGTCAATCTTTATTCTCAAGCAATACTGAACTGTCTCACTGCTCTTCCTGTTGACTCACCTGGCCAATGCAGTCAACTGTTTTCTGACGTACCTTCCCTAAGTCCACTGAGGGGAGTCTTGTAGCCCTCCCTTGTGCTAACATAATGTGCTAAGTGGACCTATGGGCCACAGTGAGCAGCAGCACTCAGTCCGCTCACTTCAAAGCTCTCTGTGGGCCAGAAACCAGGCCTGTGGAGTAGACTTGACCCATAGGCTGCCAGTTTGCCAGACCTGTAACTCCTGCTTTTACGTATCTTAGGTTATCTAAATTTAATAGTTACCTGTATGTAGAAATTGTCTTTCAGTTTTACCCTCTGAAACATTCCTTCTGTTTTTTCCCCCCAATCTCTAGGTCAAAAGGTAGAAAATGCACAGAATTTGAGTTCTTCAGAGCCCAAGCCTGTTCAAGAGAATAAAGGACATGTGAAGGGAGAACATGAAGGCATAACAGTAAGATATTTTCAAACCATATCAGTTTGTCATTAAAAATAAACATATAAATTATTGTACAATAAATAAATTTATTGGTGGCAGTAATACTTTAGAAAAAAAATTTTTTTTTCTATTTAAATGAGTTATAGGCCCAAATGACGTTGACACTTTTTAAGGTTTTGCTTGCTTTCTATGTAAAATTATAGTCACATTACAAAAGTAGGGGAAAAAATTAACACAAAAATGGAATTTACCACCTGGCCTATGTGTGGCACTGTATAGTTTTAAGCAGGTATCCTTACCTGTAAGACCTACATTTCAGATTCCCCATTACTGACATCGTTTTAGGTAGTAGACTCTACCTGATGTGGGCTACTAGATAAGAGTGTATTCACAAATATCTGTTATGATGTCTTTGTTTATAAAAACATAAAATGGCATTTATTTATTTTTATAAAACAGATATAAGGTATAAAGAAATTTAAAATGTAGTCCATAACTCATTCACGCAGATAACCCCTCTTTATTCATCTTTTTAAAATGTAGTATATATTCATAGGAAGCTCAAGTATCACCAAAAGGTGAAGATAAAAAGGGAAGGCCCCCCTTGCTCCTCCCTGTCTGGAAGATAACCAATATTAAATTTCTTGTTTCTTTATTTTTAAAAAGGGCATATAGCAGCTTACATTTGTGTATTCTGTTTTTCAACAATGAACTAATATCCACAAACCCACCGGCCAGGTTAAGAGCTAGAATATTTCCAGTGTTGCTGCTTTGGCCTCTAAGTTCCTTCCCTGTCCCCCTGTCTGCGTCCTCTCAGAGAATGGCATTATCTTGGCTGTGTGTTTATCTTTCCTTGGCTTTGCTAGTTTTGCAGTAAATGTATGTATCTTCAAACAATGTATTGTTTAGTTTTCCTTATTTTTGAGCTTTTAAATAAAGTTTTTCATAGTGGTATTATTGCTTTGTTTACTCAGTTATGTATATTTCTAAGATTTATCCCAGTAAAGTTTTTCATAGTGGTATTGTTGCTTTGTTTACTCAGTTATGTATATTTCTAAGATTTATCCCAGTAGCTCACCAAGTTCTCTCTGTGAATGTACCACAATGTATTTTTCCGGTCTTTTGTTGATGGACATGTAGATTATGTCTAGCTTTTTGCTTTTATGAAAACAGTAGCT